AGCTTTGTTATTCCACTAAGTTTCATGAAAACCAGTTCAGTAGTGTTCTGGTAATACTGCCGACAAATAGACAAACAAACCAACAAACCAACAAATCAAACTTAAATCATAACCCTCTTTACGGTGATAAGTACGAAGTTTGGACAGGAAGTTTAGGTGACAATGTTGAACAATGACATGAGCCATTGAAACTTAATATGCTACCTGAGCTAAATACAGTGGTCCAAGACCTGTTCCAGTTATTCACCACAGTAGCATGCAAAAACTACGTAAGCCACAACTTTGATGAGCACACAGCTAAGACTTCTTATTGAAGCTGTAGTGCCTTTCTGTCTTTCTTTTCCCTCAGTGAGAAAGTAACAGTGTGTTCAATGAACTTGGACTAATTCAAGGTGTCCTGAAGGTCAGCTATGGGTCAGTTACCTCGAGCCATTAGGTCCTTGTGTAACTGGACCATAAGCTTTGTCTTCATCCTTGTCACTTTGTCAACACTTCCTCAATTGATCACTCCATTGTGCTATGTCATTCTGTTTCTGATTTTCAAGGACATCATTTTAAGGCCCAGCCAACGATTGGAGGATGTCCAGAGTTCCTCGTTGACCTCAGGATTGCATTTCAGATTTTTCCCTGATGATGAAGTTCTGTTCTTCGTCAGTCTGTGACCTAGATCACTCGGTGGGGGTTTGCCTCCGAGTGTGAAGTGGAGGGTCAGCATCTCATGGTAAATGTCAGAAAGTGAATAATCCCCTAGTGCATTAATAGCGCTTCCACGAATGCAGAAGTAAAAAAAGGATGGTTAATTGATATTTGGCCAAATAAGGAAAGTGCAACAAGTTGTAATCTCAACATTTGCAAATAATGACCTAAAAGGTTGTATGGCAAATGTGATAGCAGACCATTTTTCTATTACCATATTGAGCGGAAACAGCAAATTCAATGTTACAGTTTAAGTCATTTCTCACCTTAGCTATTTTTTGGGGTGATGGAAATATCTGGCTCTTTAGCTGCAACATGTTCCTATCCTATGTTTACCAGCTAGTCTGTCATCCATTTCCTGCTGGCCAGGTAGGATACAGTATGCCAGAGCATTGATTGTTAATTAAAGCAGTTCACAGGCTAACAAGTATCATACTTTCTACACTGGCATCGGCTCAAGAGTCAGTGTGACACAAATGTCATCATCTGCCAATGTTAACAAAGGTGCATGCGTAGCGTCCTTGTACATCACAAAATGCATGAATGTGAGTGAATGAACGTCATACTGAATGCGTCAACACACATTTGAACATTGGCAATAAAACATGAGCTCTGGGAATCAGGAAATATAACGAAGGTTGCTAGCCTAAACTAGATGAAACAGTCAACCAACATGACATGTTTGGTAAGGTTAGCTAAACTATATTTTTGCCTAGACTAGATTCAAAACGTTGACTTTGTCCGAAGACCAATTCTGTCTCATGTTGTTGTTCTCAGGGAATTCAGACTAGAACATTTTTTAAATATTTCCCTTTATGTTTCCTCTGGTCTCCATGGTCAAACCCCAAGTCGTGCTTATCTTGCCAAGTTAAAAAAATTCAACCAACACTAAGCGTTTTCCTTGGTAGTCGCCCTATCTCTCATTGGTGTTGCAACCTAGCTAGGTGTTGTTGTGGTGGCTAACGTATCTATCTTGAAAGAATGGAAACAGCAGCATTAGCATGTTCTTGCTTGGTATGCAGGCAACCAGCAGAGACTTCAGGAAGTTACTGTGTCAGGCCAAGGCAACATAAACCCCTGTTAAACCACAAAGTGTCTTTTTTACTGATTGAAGCGGTTTTTCTGTTTCCAGTCTCTCTGCAAAGCAAGACGCAGTAGCTAGCTTAGAAAGTGAATGTCCCAAAAAGTGTTGTTTTAATGACACTTCAGCCTAATGATAGTCATTCACAATAACTGTTTTAACAATATGATTCAGTCAGGCACAAATGAATCAGATATTTAATGTACTAACAGAAAGATTGACCAGAGAACAGGGAGAATAAGTTGTTAAAGAAGCATTTAAGGTCCCTTACTGCTTTTCTGTGAACAACAAGGCTTTATTTGAAAAGTGCTGTATAGAAAAATATTGAATTATGTATTTATATAGTATTTAATGATGGATAACTTTATGCTTACTATTAAAGAACATTTACTCAAGCACTGAAATTCAGCACCATTTTGAGAGACTTGTACTTTCCTTGAGTATTTTCAAATTATGCTACTTTACACTTTTACTCCACTACATTTTAGAAGACAAAATAGTACTTTTACTGCTCTACACTTATTGTACAGCCTTAGTTACTAGTTACTTTACAGATACAGATTATTAGATAATAAAATAAAATAAAAACCATTAATGAATAAACATTGTCATATAATGATTGGTTAAAATATCCAGGAGCATTACAGTATATAGAGAAGGTAAGACTAGCTCCAGCTTTACCAGCCGTGATGAACACATGCATAATCATATTGCAGTCATGTATGATATATGATGGGCCATTTTCCATAACAAGTAGTTTAAGTAAATTTGGATGATAATACTTTTGTACTTTTACATAAGTAAGATTTTGTATGTAGGACATTTACTTGTAACAGAGTATTTAAAAACATATGGTGTGTACTTTTACTTCAGTAAAAGACCCGAGTACTTTTCCATAGCTGACAGTAAACAGCATATTCATAAAATAGTAGGTTTTTCATTCTCCTAAAGTACTTAAACATCTTAATTAATAATTATACTTGAGGAACTTAAAGAAGGATTGAATGCTAGCAATAATATTTGTAATTAGCTGTGTATTAATTTACAATAACAAGAAGTAAAGACAAAACTATGCTACAGTACTTTAGGTGTATATATATATATATATATATATGTACATATTTCTTTCCACGTATTGTGCCTTTAAGTCCTTTAAAATAATAATGAAATGTTTACAATATCAGTATAAAGCCAAAAAAAAAATCCAGCATGGAATACTGAAGTCTTTGTAAGATAAAAAATAATCAATCATTTAATTATTAGTGTATGGATAGGCACTAAATCAATGTGTTTGTTTATGTATCTATCGGTTGAACTTGAGACTGTGTGGATAAATGTGTCATGCACAGCAGGACTAGGTAGACACTGTGTGGCATTAAACAGAGAAAATTGGCACACTGGTCAAAATAGCATTCAAACCACAAGGGTGAAGGAACAGAGCAAGAGCTAGAACGACCAGGAGGAAAATAAATATCCTGCTCACTCCAGAATATACCTATTTATATATAATCCCTGAACAATTGTGCAGTGTCACTAAATCTGTGCACCTTTTATAGACATAAAGACTACATGCCCTACATAGAAAACTCAAACATGACATACATCTTCAGACATACATCACTGTGCCACAGCTGTGACAAGTCAATCACTGTAGACAGAATGTTAGGATCTCCTTTTTTAACAGAAATGCACATGGAGCAACAGCATTCACAAAAAATATGCAAGCTACACCACTGACAGAATGTAGGCTTGGATTCAACTTAATATCAACAGCAGGGACTGATCCATTATGCATCAAATAATCGGTGGGTTATATTTGGCTCTTTGCCTGAGAGTCTTGGTTTTTACCAAATAAGAGGTCTTCCATGCTTTTCACAAACAGCAGGGCCATTACGAGCCAAACAAATAAGCTTTGCAAAATGGGTTACACAGCCTGTCTGCATCCTCTCATCCTCTGCATGTTTCACTGATGTAAACAGGCAACAGGGCCCAAAAGTGGCCTTGCAATGCCTCTGTGGAGCTTTCACAGCTTGAAATGCAGGGGTAGCTTCCCTGCTACTGGGTAGGGAATGCCCTGATGTCGCCTGATGTAAAATAGCAAAGCAGGGAAAAGACTGAGAAGAGGGGCATCACAAAGAGTCACTTTGTTTTGATGTTGGATATATAGAAGGATCCAGTTAACAGGCCTGACAGTCCATACTGACGGTTTGTAGCCATCCGACTAAGTGATTGCCTGCATCGTCTGCCTAGTAAAGTGTCTGTTATAGTAAAAATGTCAAAATGAACCGATACCAAGGATTTATTACAACATCGGCACATTTGGCCTAATGCAATGCGCAGAGGCCTCCTCCTCACAGCAGCTGTTGGAAACGAGCTGGAGGTTGGACATGAGAACGTTGTTGAGCTCAAGGCACATGAACCGGTTGCTTCCAGTCTGGAAAAAATTATTTACGAATTCTGGAAAACACTGCTAGAACACTGACAATGAAATCACGCGAGAAACACAACAATGCCATTTTTATTCTATTTTGGTGCTTGCTGTTGACAAAAGCTTAACAAATGCAGCATTACCCATCAATACTAGCTACATTGTAATTTGCTAAGAACAAGTTTGGCTCGTGCCCATCTTTTAGCCATAGCTGGTAGCCAGCTTATCCTACTGTTTAGTTAAATACAACAGCGAGGTGAGCTAACGTTAGCTGGTTAGCCACAAAGCTAACTACTGTATTTGCTCAACATATAGCTTGCTGTTAGCTAACTCCAGTGTGTTAAATACCACTAGTTAGCTAAGGTCTATGCGTCGTTACTGATGCCAATGTCCCCCATCAGCACAACTATGAGAAACGTCAGTGACAGTTAGTTTACTGCAAACAAATAACGTCATAAACGGTATATAAACAAAGGAGGGTCGTGTGGTGAAATGTGTATTTCAGTGTGGTGGTAATAAGACCAACTGTCAGGGTTAGCGAGTTCACTGTCACCCATTTGGACATTCCTCTGCTCATTTGTGAAACAAAGCAAGGTTACGGGACAGGAGAGGCAGCTCAGACTAGATTTACCAGGATTGCGCACACATACACAATCAACATAATCGCATACTGTGTGCGTGAGAGTGAGTGAGTGAGATAGAGACCCCCCTCCGCAACAACACAGTGACAGATTTGAGACCCTCTGCTGTTGTCACAACTTGTTCATGCCATCGGGGCTGAGCCAGCTCTCTAACCTTTGTAATGGACCCGCAGGTTGTTCTGTGACAGCCCAATGTAGCTGTATTTATCCTTGGGGCTCCAGGATCGGGGTAAAGGGGTCTCTTCCTCGTTCACAGCCGGGTAGAGCCGCTTCAGCCTCTCGTTTAGCTCGTGTTCCTGGTAATTAAAAGCAGGATCCCCTAACGGCAGGCTTCCCGCTCCAAGCTCTGCCATTTTGGCCTCTGTTTTGTATCTTATTGTTCGTGTCTTTCTATCCAAAGCCCCGTGTCAGTCCGCTTGAGCTGTAGGCTGAGTGAGAGAGACTGAGGGGAGAAAATAGCAGCGGTGTGACATCCCCGGATAAGCAGCAGAGTGTACTGTAGGCTGGAGCAGTGCCGTCTGGGTACTGTAGTTTAGCTGCATGCTCTCTTGTATGATACTGTCTCTAGAAATGACTACACAGCCCCATTGCTGTTATCCTGGTTCAGACCTTCCACAGAGACAGGGAGCTAGGAAATATAGTCCGCTTTTAGAACATTATATGATATAATTCTTAATCCCCAATTGTATCCTTATGTGGCACGTGTGTTTGAGAAAGTGGAACATAGGTGTATATATTTGTGAACTAGAGGATAGCATTGGTAGCACTTTCCAGAACGAAAACAAAGTTTATATTGTTTGCAAAATATGCCTACTTTAAAAGACACGTTTGTTTTCAATCATGGTGATTTTATATTATTCTATGCCATAACCTCTAAATTACAATACGTATTAGGCCTATACACATTGGAGATTGTTGTTTGTGTGTGATATTTACAAAGTAGGTTTGGCTGTTTTAATCATGCATGCTATTGGAACAAGTCAGGACTGATGGTTTGTACGACTCACATTTATATTTGAAAGCTGCAGTTTCCTTTGGTTTGAAAGTGTTTGTTTCGTCTCTATTTAAGAGGAAAATCTTTATTTTTACACAGTTTGAAATTCAGCCAGGCGCGCTGCGGTCTACTATGTGGGTCCTGCTGGGTGCTCCGTCGTCGTTACCATGGAAACCTTGTTACAACGTTGTGAGCTGTGATACTTGAGCCAACCTCGCGCTAAAGGCCCTAGCTTAGCTAAACGGACCAAATATAGACATTTCAAAAGGACAGAAACTTTAAAAATAGTTATTTAGACTTCATACAGTCGCTAGAGATGTTGCCACTTAAAGATATTACATTTCCACCTTTAACGCCGTCAAAAACACAAAGGCAAGTGATTTTAAAGATTGGCCTACACAGCAACAATATTAAAGGCTACTATTTATATGGATAATATTAATATATATTTCCTCTAATAATTGTAAGTTACATTATAGGTAAAGCTCATGAGTTCAAAATGTTACCTAAGTAAAAGTAGTCAAATGTTATAAGCAAATTGTACTTAGAGTATTAAAATAAAAGTACTTATGATGCTGAACGGCTTTTTTTTAAAGTGTTGTTTTGTTTTTGAATACTATAAAGTTATATTTGTATCACTAACAAATGCATATAAAAGCTTTTTATGTTGTTATTTTGCAATGTAGGGAAACGTTTGGATACCTTGTGGACTACTGAGTAGATAAGTAGTATATAACACAACATGTTATTAAGGTCAAAAGTAACTAAGTGTAAGTGAATAAAGTAGTGTAGTAGAAATATACAGTGGCAGAAAAAATAAATATATATATATATATACTCAAATAAAGTGCAATTATCTCAAAATGTATACTAAAGTGCTTGGGTAAATGTAGTTCCATCACCATTGCTTAGCTCTGTGGTTTTCTATTATAGACTGACATTTGACCAGCGGAGACTACAACATGACGTTATCCAGACATCAGAGGAAGGACAAGAAGAAAAGGCTGGAGCTGTTTCTGTCCAACCTGCTGTGAGAAAGGTAACGAGAAATAAAGCAGGGAGCAAACAGCTTAATCAAACCATCAATCCTTTTCCTCATTAAAAACCTACTGCAATTAAATATAATTATGATTATCGAATACCGAAAGACAGTCATTTTATTATGATATAAAACAGAGAAAAATCTGAAAAACCTCCTCATTAGAGAGGCAGAGAATAGCATTTTCTAACATATTTGTATTACTTTACTAATTATATAAAAATAGTCCATATTGGTTTCCTTGTCAATCAATCAACCATTAGTCAACTATGCAATTTAACCAGAAGTACAAGGGAACCAGTAAAGTGCAGTGTAATGTATCTGTATAATATAAGTATATAAATATAACAGATATAACTATATTATATATTATGAACAGTTTAAATAGGTATTAAACACTGAAATGTAGCATACATATTGAATACACTGTAGAGGGGGTAGAAATGGACAGTATTAATATAGAAAGACACTATTGACAGTAGAGCAAATATAAATACACTTTAGACCAGTATTGACACTTTTTTATAGAAAATACGGATACATATTGGTACACTGTAGATTAAGATATGAGACGTATGGATATGCTTAGAAGTAACATGATTAATGGGGGGAGAACAAGTATTTTAAAGTTTGATTGACTCACTAAAGCTGTGCATGCGTGCGTGCATGCGTGTGTGTGTGTGTGTGTGTGTGTGTGTGTGTGTGTGTGTGTGTGTGTGTGTGTGTGTGTGTGTGTGTTTGTGCGGCTGTGCGCATTTGTGTGTGTGTGTTTGTGTGTGTTAAATGTAGTTGTGCTGGACAGGTAGCCGCTACATGTATGCCGGCCCAGGGAGGAAGCCTCAGCTCCTGAAGCAGCTGGAGAGCTACGTTCACAAGGAGCTGCAGATGATCAGCTCGTCTGAGCCTCAGTTTCAGGAACAGAGACTACAGGTGCTTTGTTTTGCTGTTTTGTACTAGGAAGGTTGGCTACATTAAAACCAGAGGAAATACTGTACACACAATTTAGTCCAGGAGAGTAATCCCATTATCTTAATCTGACCACAGGTCTACCGAGATGCCTTTGGTTGTTTCATCAAAGAGTTCAAAACCTACCAACCCCTTCTTTCTGCCATCAAGAGGGAATATGAAAACACTTTAGGTCAGTATCTGCTCATCATAGTATAGCACTTTTCTGAATGGTGTCCTTTAGTGCAATAGAATAAAAGGAACAAAGCAGCAGCCTTTGATAAACGAGGAAACAAAGAATCTGTTATTTGAAAAAAGGAAAACTACTTATTGGGGAATTAGATAGCATTTCCACAAGGACAGAGCTGGTTGATTTGGTTTATATTGTAACTGCTGCATCCACTTTAGCCAGCATTTTTTAAGTGGCAATCTGGGTTAATGACCGAAGGGCTATGGGAATAAATAGTTAGTGGCTACAAATAATTGTTCGCAGACTTAAATAAATGCCCTTTATTTGTTTTATAAAGTTGTAGACAGTTTATAATGAAGTGCACCTAAGCTACATTGAAAGGGGACATGCTATGAACAACGTACCCTTTCACTGCTTGTGTATGTACATTTATTTATTTGGAGTTCCTATCAACCCATTAACTGTGAAACAAGACGAACCAGACTGTTTCTGTGGGTTCCCTCTGTCAGAAAACATGGGATTTAAAAAACGTTTCTTATTTCCTATGATACATGTAGGCTGTCTAAAATATATCATATCTTCCCATCTAAGTATCTCCAGGCATAGCTTAAGAACTACATTTGTTAAGGTGCACCATCTTTTTCTCACAAGCCAATCAAAGCAAACTGTGACTGTGAAAGAGGGTGAATAAAGGTATATTCAGACAGAATATGAAGCAAGTCTGTAAACAGGTTTTTGTAGGAACCCAAAATTCAACTTTGCACCACAATGAGCATAAAACATCCTATATTTTCCGTGTTCAGTGAAAGTTGCATAAAAATAAAGCAATATAAAGCATATTGTGCTGCAAATAAGTTGACTAAAATATAACAACTTAGCTAAGCGCACATTCAGGTAAAGTTGTGCTTTTAATTTGGCAGGTTGATTACAAATATGTCTGCACCAGTTGGAAATGTGAAATCAGATCTGTAGCTCTAATATATTTTTGTTGTTGAATAATCGATCAGTTATTTATTTTGTGTATCCGTTTAGCCTTTAAAATGTTTAAAATATTAACAAATGCCCATCACATCTCCGCAGATAGTTATTCAAAATCTCAATAATGTAGTCATTTTTTTATCTAAAAAAAGTATCCAGCCCTTCTGTTTCATGATAAATCATTTGTTGCATTTGATATCTGTTCAGCATATCAGCAGGATCAAATCAGAGAACTGGAGCCGCTGCGTTCCCATGTGAGGTTGGTGACAGAGGAGTGTGAGAGGAAGATCCAAGCTCGCTGGGAAGAGGAGCGGTGTGAGATCAGAGCTCTGAAAACGGAGAAGCATCAACTTCAGAGGGTCATAGAGGCCATGACGGAGAAGGAAACAGCCACACAGGCAGTGGTACATGACTTACCTGGTGTTCTGACCATTCATTATTCATGTGACCTTTTAAGGACTTGTGGGACAAATTTTCACATCAATTCCTTCTCTAAATAGTATCGTCAATATTAGTTTGATGTGCTGTCTTGGTCAATTAAATCAAATCAAATGTCATTTGTATAGCTCAAAACTGCAAAACACATTAGATAAGGGGCTTTACAATTTGTACAAATATGGATGACAGTATAGAAAAACTAAATACAAAATTACAACATAGACAACTCTATTAACATAATGATAATGTGAATTTAAAGCAAATAAAGTAAAATCAAATAAAAGCCTTTTACACATGTAAGTCAAAGCTATTTATGCCAAAATGCGGAGATCCCTTTGTCAAAAAAATAAGTGTTGACTGCTATTTAATTTACACAAGCGTTCAGTGGTTTATTATCATGACATTGTCTCAGTCACTCCACTTTCTTCTGCTCTTTCCCAGGTGGAGCGTCTGCAGTCTGATCTCTCAGCTCAGTATCTGCAGTACCGGGAGCAGCGTGATGCCCGCCAGCTGCTGATCTGGCAGATCAACGACCTCACAAGAGGCTCTGTGGAGGAGGAACATCCAGCAGATGGAAACTCAGGTGGAGCTGCAACCATTCCATTCCACTCTATTGACATAATGATAATGTGATGGCAGGCGCCATCTTACCTTAAAGAACTCATTATACCCTACTGTCCTACTAGGGCATTGCGTTCCAAGAATGCAGGGTTGTTGGTTGTTCCTAGAGTCTCTAAAAGTACAATGGGAGCCTGAGCCTTTTCTTATCAAGCTCCACATTTGTGGAATCAGCTTCCAGTTTGTGTTCGGGCGGCAGACAGCCTATCCGTTTTTAAGAGTGCGCTTAAGACCTTCCTTTTTGATAAAGCTTATAGTTGATAAAATAATCTAATAAGAGTGCATTGACATAGACACGTTGTGCCTCTTCACCTAAACATCTTAGTTCTTACTCTTTTTCCTTACTGATGGTATGTCATTTGGTTGTGTGTGTAGACGGTGGAAGCAGGGAGAGGCATATACGTGCCTTGATCCCTGCCGAGTCGACGCACAACTGTTGATTGGTGTCGTAGCCAGAAACACTTTTTAGGAGCAATGCGCTCATGGTATAGATGTGGCGCATACATCTTAATTCCTACTCTTTTCCCTCACCCTGCCTATCCTAAGGGAGCGCATGTACGTAGACACGTTAGTTTTGCTGCTATAGGCTTAGACTGTCGGGGGACACCTTACTTCTTCCTTCTGTCTGTCTGTACCTTTGTACTCTCATGTTCCAAATAACCCAGCTTCCCCCAAATCAATTTTTGGTGTCTATCTACGTCGGGATCCTGAGTCGAGGCTAATCCTGTTTCTGCGTTCCTGTTTCCTGGTTCCTGAATCATGTGTCCTGGATCCTGCATCCTGAGTCCTGGATCCGGAGTCCTGGATCCTTAGTCCTGTGTCCTGGATCCTCTATCCTGAGTTCTGGATTTGAGTCCTGGACTTCGAGTCGTGGCTGAACCTGTCTCTGCGGTCCTGCCAGACTCTCACCATACTACTTCCCTGATGGCTCCCACAGGATTGTTGACATCCTCGTGGATTAATCTTCTTATTATAGACACATGCATTTCCAAACATTTGTTCTACCTATGCTGTAAAATGTATTATCTCTTCGATTTACACACGGCATCTATAGCACGTCTGTCCGTCCTGGGAGAGGGATCCCTCCTCTGTTGCTCTCCCTGAGGTTTCTCCCATGTTCCCCTTTAAACTGTGGGATTAAAGAAGTTTTTCCTTGTACGATGTGAGGGTCAAAGGACAGAAGGTGTCGTATTGTCATACTGATATTCTGTACAAACTGTGAAGTCCACTGAGACAAATGTAACATTTGTGATATTGGGCTATATAAATAAACATGGATTGATTGATTGATTGATTGATTCCCACTCAAATAATCGATACATCACAAAAATGATTTGGGAAAATAATTTGAAGTTCATTTCTTCTTTTAAGATCTCTCTGGTTGCAGGTTTTCTATCCTTATCCTATTGCTAATCTACTATTTCCTGTTTCATTAGTCCTTTGCAATTGAAAACTAAATATGTCTGGGTTTTAGACGCACACAAAAAAAGACATGTCCCTAGGCCTTGGGATGTAATGTATAGGCCTATGTCACACTTCCGGAACGTTACAAATCGCCGAGCGGTGTACACCTACTTCCGGTAGTTACCCTAGTTACGTGACAAACATAATGTGCAACCATCTTTTGACATTGGACTGACCAAATTATTAACTGATTAAACAAAGAAATATCAGACAAATTAATCAATAAGAAAAACCATATTGTTATTGGCTTAAATTCCCAAAATGTGGTGTCTAAATCTACAAAATCAGCCAGAAATGTAGATATTAGAAATTAAACAATCTGTCAATCTATTTGTCTGTTGTCTCCGGGAGTCTTACACCAGAGGAGTTGTCCCTAACCTTAAATAAGAGTGAAAGAACTGAATGAGCACTACACTTTTTGAATTAAAATATGTTACAATCAAAGTTAATATGAACAGTTGGTAAAATAAAGAAGTGTTATAAAAGGCTTTGAGAGTTGGATATGTTTTGTTTAGGTACCTTAAAAGACGATGACAAATGTTTAGATTTCACTATTAAAAGCTATACAAACCTTTCTTTGTTTCTCTTGGCAAGAAAGCAAATTCCAAAAAACCTATTGACCATTTATGTTGGGAATTTCTAAATATACCAAATACCTTTAGTATAACATTTTAAAAGTTAAGAATATTTGTTCTGAATTTTAAATCCTATTGTGGAAGCAGATGCTAGGGACCCAGTGCAGCTGCAGCTCTCTCTGAAGGTGTGCCGGAGAGACCTGACCACAGCTCAGGAGGAGCTCACCAGGATGAAGGCAGAGTACTGGGACGTGGTGCCGAGGCGCAACTGGGACGCCCTGGAACAAACACACCAACAGAACTACTCAAAGGTAACCCATAAAGACACACATTTTACTATACACACACACTACACACCCGCATGGGCACAGAATGCTTGATTTCAAATGTTTTCACCTTGTTCTTGTTTTCTTTGTGTCCAGATGCAAATGTTGCAGAGTGACTTTGATCAGCTGAAGAGAGAGCATGACATCCTGCTGGAGCTCCACAAAGAAGGCAGCATGCAGAACAAGACTAATGAGCTCTGCACCCAGCAGGTACTTTATAGTACCTGTAGGGGCCACATGTAAGGTTTATGTATTTTATGTTTTCATTGAATATTTTGCACTTATTATTTGTGTTCACTGGAGCTGGGGTGGTGATGGTAGTTGAAATAGCCGATTGCTTTCACCAGTTATCACTTTTTGGCCATTACAGAGAGGGGGGGTGAGCCTGGGAGTGATATTTTCTGTTGACCACATTCACATACAGAACTTTATAATTAGGATACTGGAACCAATTGTGTTGTCTTGTTTTGTTGAGGAATATATGGTAAATTGCATTCAAGAAGTGTTTCTTCTTTGCTTTGTTCCTTTACTGTTTTTTTCCCCGGACTACAGTCTAATACCAGATCAAAATAGAGCACATAACGTTGTTATCAAGTTGTACGGATAAATAAATAGATAAACAAAACAAAAGAATAGTTGGCAATCCCTAAAGACCCCAAAAGAGCCAAAACATTTGTTTACACTTAATGAACGAAGACAGTTAGCTTTAAGGAACAACTCCAGCCTGATTCTGTCCAAAGGGGAACCAAAGATTTATTTTTAAACATATATAACTTTGGACTGATGAAAGCAATTTTTTGGAACCATTTAGTAGTTAGGGTTTGATTAATTTTTGATTATTGGTAGGTGTTTTGTTTTTTTAGCTTGTAACATAGCTGTATAATATATAAACTCTCATATTTTAGATTTGTACATAATTTATAATGCAAATACTTGGCCCCTAATCTAAAGCTTCAGATTTATCAAGGTCCCATTTTACATAACTCCGTCTTGAATTATTATTATTATGTCTTATGATTGTACACTGAAAAAACGGAATCATTGACTTTAATTAAATATATTATGTTAACAGATGTCCCATAACTGTATCAGGTTAGTTGAAAGCAATACTATGAAGTACAAATACAAAATATCAGGTTCAACTTAATATTATTGCTTTCAACTAACCTAATACAGCTATGTGAAGTTTGTTTGTTATAATACATATAATTAAAGTCAACGTTTCAGTTTTTTCAGTGTTCTTGTATTTTTAAACTGTTTTTGAAAAATATTTATTTCATTTATAAAACTTTGGATGGAGCCAAGCTAGCTGTGTCTCCCTAGAGGTTTCTCAACACTCAAATTTCCCCTCCTCGACTCCTCGACTCCTCGGTGCTCGGGTAGTGACCCGGAAATGAATTTCAGCGCGCCATTTTGAAGGACATCTCATTTCTCTAAATGCACTTCGAGGACCGAGCATCGAGGAGGCTGTCTGGAGGAGCTCTAACCGAGGAGACACTGATGCATCCTCCACGGCTTCTCCACGGATGCATTTCCGGGAACGGTGAAGGCGTGACGCACGGCCGGACTTATCTCAGCCAATGACAGCTCTGCATGCATCCCCTGGATATTATTTTAGTAACTGCTTTCATCGCGACGCGATGTTTACAGTGAGAACAGCTGTGAGGTCTGTGCAGAAAGCAGAGCAGTGTGTACAATATATATCACTCAGTATAACAGGCCTACATTACTTTCTGTATTTGTATGCTGTAGTTTAGTAGATATCTACAAACAAAGAGTCGACATTTTTCTAAGACCATTTAGTGCTTCACATAATAAAATACACAACGGCTGTAGCCTGATTATGCTTTAGGAGCGCCTTGGCCCTCTCGCCTCACCTGCGCGTCGTTCGCGCAACTCTCTTTACTTCGTGAGAGGGAGACTCGCCAGGTAAAATTTTCTCTGCAGGTAATTACTACTGTCCTCTGTGTCGTCGTGAGACTACCTGTCTGCACAAGTACTGCTGAATATATATAAAATGAAAATTAAGTAACTTTTACGCCATATTACTCTGTTATTTGTCCGATGTCTACAACTGTATATATGTGTGCATTTGTGTTAGTCTCTGACCTATTAGGGGGGGGGAGGAGAGAGACCAGCGACTTTACCCCTTAACTTTAATGCCCGGTTTTCAACATGTTTCATAATTTTCATTCGTATCCTGTGTGGTTTGGTTGACTCTGGGCAGACAGGCGGCGTAGATGCGTGACATGTTGTGTATGGAATGTGTGACATGGTGTGTGTGTGTGGATGTGTGACATGGTGTGTGTGTGTGTGTGTGTGTGTGTGTGTGGATGTGTGACATGGTATG